TGTTTGAGGATCTTTCGCTGACATAGCTTTGCTGAACTGTGGAAGGTAACCTTGTGCCGGTAACTGAAAGAAGATAAAGAACTTCAAAAGCAGACAAGAGACTCGGCTTTTACTTATGAACAGTCCGTTAAACCCTAAAAGTTCAAAAATCAAACAGACCTGGTCTGCAGTGTTGGGGAAGTTACGCAGTAGCTCTATAAAAGCTGTGGTCACAAGAGTAAGATCGGGACTAGGTTTGTGCATCAACTCTAAGACCCTGAAAACAGAAAGCTATGCATGTAAAAATAGTTCCTATTTTTGTTAGCATACTTTTCAATAAGTTCCGTTGCAAACTGTCGCGGATGACGGACCGCCCACGCAGGATTTGCTACGTACAATCTCACGAACACTCCACCAACTACTAGTTCTCCAGTAACAGAGTCAGCATAGGCACAAGAGTCATCCGCAAGAGATCCCTTCAAATACAACAGAAAATGTCTAAGCAGCTAATGTTAAAATTTAATCGTACAGTATCCCATTTGTGTTCAGGGTTGCTGGATTGAGCGCGATGCAATTCGCTCACTCCACGCTCTATGATCTGTCGCACTTTGACGCGCGTAGCATCGTTCCATATCAACTCTGGATTCTCGTTTGTAGAATCAAACATCGTGATCCTAAACACTATCGTTCAGAGTAATCATGGAGTGATACTTGGTTTAAGTAATAAGTAATGAAAGAATTCTTTAAAAAATCAGAATCATACGCAGTATTGGGAGAGTCGCGTAAAGCATCAGCAAATATGGGTGGCAGGAATTTTGTGATGAAACGAGTCCACCGCGGGCCTGTCAACTTGTCGGCCTATAATTCTTTGTTTCAGCAAGTTATCACACATCGTTATCAATAAATGATTTGATGATTGGTTGGCGAAAATTAAAAAAAAAACAAATCAATTAAAAAAGAGAAAAATCCGTAATATTGTAATATTATAAAAAACTACCTGAAGTTTAGTTAGCAGTTCAGCGGCTTGCAGCCTTTCTCCAGGATCACTATCAGGTGAGC